GTTTTTGCAGCATATAGACCAGAACCGGTAGGGCTGCTACAGCGTACACTCTACTCTTCACAGAAAGCCAGTTGTCCCAGTGGAATCAGATGTGTTTCTAATGAGCAAATGTCAGCCGAACCTTTGAGACTATCAAGCTTGGATTAGCTCACTCGATTTTTCAGAGGCACCAGGCACTCTTGACGGTCTTGGGTGTGGGTTTCACTCCTTGTGAGGTCATTAGTTCCCCACTATTTGAATGCATTTAAATGCGATGGAATTTTTGTTATAACCGACAAAGAGCGCTGCAAAACTGTTTCGTCCTGTTTGGGACTCGTCAGCAGTGCGCACCTTTTGTGTCCTTGACCGTCGACCGTGTAGCTCGATGGTAAGCGTTTGAAGTCCCGACCCGACTGCCCGCGGTTCGCGTCCTGATAGGGACACAAAAGAGTACGCATTGTTGACGAGTCCCAAACAGGACGAAAAAGTTGTCCATTGCTCTTTGTCGGTTATCACAAACATTTCCATCGCAGCCGAACCTCTTGTGTGAGTGCCGGAACTTCATTTACGGTTCATTCTCTTCGTGATATGCAGCTGCCTAAGTATAAAAACTCACGTAATTTCTCTAATCCTTACACAACTACAATATAATCAAAACAGTTTATACACTTAATCCATTTTTTCTATTTACTGGTTTGCTCAACAACTGAAGTTATCATTTTAACGACCCGAGGTGAAGGGATAAATCAGAAGTGTACGCAATTTTTTATGCACATCGCGAGATTGTTGACGCAAGTGTGTCCGGAACGTGAGTCACCCAATTCTGTGCTTGAAAGACAGACAATTATCAAAAGAACAGTAGTAAGAAGGGTACTTTTGCATTCCGTTCTCTGTCAGGGATCAATCGATTCTGTATTCGGTTCATTGGGGGACACATGGTTATGGTAATATCCCTCAGTGTCAGGGTATCAGATCATGCATGATCGACAAGACCGTGCTTTCTGCGTGTTATCCAATTCATTAAACCTGTCGTTATATCCCCTGCTTCATTTCACTTGAAATACCGACTGCTTCGGAGTCGTATGGTTTTACTCGATTACACCTTATTCAAACAAAAAGAAACGATAACTGAAAAATCATACAAACGGTGCTTGACGCCGATCAACGTAGATCCTGTTTCGCTAACAGTTTTCCTAATCGGACGTTGTCGCCTACTATTCCCACCTACCAAAATCTGAGCCAGTTACGGTTTTAATAAATATACCATCTCATCTTGATTCCGTGGTCGTACCCGTAAATGGTTTCCCTTTTTCTGAACTCCGATTCAAACAACGTTGAACAGGTGTCGGTAAACGTCCCGCTTCTTTATACCACAAAATAATACAACGCATCACTGCGCAGCGAACCCTCCATCCAGTTGACGAAATTTTCTCCCTGTAAGAGCTCAGCAATATATTCAACAATTTTCTCCTCAAAGTTTTGGTAGATTAGGGATAGGCACTGTTTATATGTTTGTTTAGTAGATCGACGTGTGTCTAACTGGAACGCACGGGATCACAACTTGTGTAGCCCAAAAGCTGACGGCCGCATTCGACCACCAGTGGTTCGTATCATTGTATCAGCTGTTCCAACTGAAGATTGAACATTCCCATTGAAATGCGTCGTCAATCGTTGACTGTTCCGTTCTGCTTACACTCTCATTAACCTTGTAATAACCTAAACCAGTTTTGGACACCGTGTCCCAGCCACTTGTATAAGTTCAAGTGGTTGTTTGGCAGTTTGAAGTCTTATGTGGAAATTGTGAAAATTCCAGTAGCCTAAGTGGGATTCGAACCAACCCATGGACGCCACCTGCGCTTTTGTACAGCGCACGCTCCTCTATCTGAGCTACGAGGCTACACAGATAGCACTGATCTTTCCACATTCGAATCCATCCATCCAATTTACGGAAGTGCATGGCATTTACCAGGTAGCATGTAAGCCGACTGCCACGACACGTTTTCCTTAAAATTCATCGAAGTTCACCGAACGAACTAGTAAAGAACGGAGTGAAAATCGTTATATATGTTTTCATGTATGTATGTATGTATGTATGTATGTATGTATGTATGTATGTATGTATGCATGCATGCATGTATGTATGTATGTATGCATGTACGTGTGCGAGTATGCAGGCCTTAGTGCTGGTACAATAATGAGTATAGGGAGATGGTAATCTTATATTTAAACTGAAATTAAGACCCGAAAAAGCGGGTAAAATAGATGTATACAAAAGATGTGCTGGCCGCATGCTCAACATAAACTGTATGGTCGCACTTGCTAGTGAAGGTTTTTGTTGCTTCACTCTTCAATGCACACACACACACACAAACTGCTCATTTCTGAACACATTCCAACTACTGTTGGCCAAGGTGAACATCTCATACCGAGGAAGCGTGCAATAGGCAATACCCACTCGGATGCAATATCTTTGATGAACAATCCCTGTTTCAACTAATCACTTTTGTTGGTCTAAATTCTCAAAAATGTTAACGGTTATTGCATGTGGGGGCGGAAATAATCCGAAAATGCAGCAGGTACAATACTTTTGTTACGGGCTGTATGGGTAATAAGTGTTTCAACTATATCAATATCTATTTAATTTACGATTATGCGAATATCAACTGCACATATGAGTTTGCTTTACAGGATGCAACTTTGTGACGTTTGTGTGTAGGTTCCGTGAAGAGTAAAATCCACTTATGTTTCCCAATTTGGAGTCCGTAAACCGCTTTCAGATCAACTGCAGATGATTAAGCTATCCAGAATATAACTTTCAGAAGGAAGCCCTTTTTTCATGATGGCGTAGTTAGACGCCACAGAAGGTGACCAAACCGCTGTAGATGACGTTGTTTCGGCAATGTGGAAGACTCCTAACAGAATAACAAAGGCCGATGGGCTTCTTCACTGGATACTAGGTTTTGCTACCTTACCTTTTTGGGTTATAGCCGCGGATCTTGGTGATGGGAAATCAATATCATTTGGAGTTCTCAAGCATGCGTATCTGGGTGTCATTCCTTGCTTGGGCGTTTAGCTGGATAGTGAAGCTGCGTTGCTTGATACTTTGGACGAATTCTATCGACTCGCAATTGATTGGGTTGACATTCTATAGTCGGATTATTGTGATGAAGATGGTTATGCTCTGGGACGGGTTTATTTCCAATCAGATTTCTTTGGCAAAACAGACTACGTGGTCGCGGATCGGTTGTAGGTTGTCCAGATAGTCTCCAGTGCAATCTACCATGGTCAAGCATTTGACTGCTTTGGACAATTTTGGACAAACCGCAATTGTCTCACTGTGGTGAGGTAATATTCGATAGCTAGATTCTGCGAACCATTTATCATTACCGAGAAATTCCAGCTATTTACGGGCAGTACTCATAATTTAGAGTTTGTTTAATCTTTTCTCTGGCGACCTGCATGATTAACTATGACATCGACGTAGGTCCGCAAATTTTCTCTCCTGTGCGCTTCAGATTTGTATTAGATATCACTCGTCTGAATTTGTTTACCAATGTAAGATTTACATCAACTGATAATATACCTCCATCGTTTCCTCTGGATTGACTGCAAGAACCCTGAAATACTGCGTTGTGGTTCAGCTATGATAACCGAAAGGTGTTTTGATATCCTAATACTTACTAAGTTATCGAACACTTTCGCAGTTTCTGATTGCTGATGGCTTCGGTAATCACTATTCTAAGAACGACCACGGTGCTGTTTCCATCGTGAACCTGAATCGAGAAATGCGACAATGACAATACGATTATTGGAAACCAGTTTGCATTTACTACTTGTGAATGTCATACGCGAATCTTAATTCATCCGATTTACTTTTTGTGGTGGAAGTGCCTAAGGAAGTTACGTTATCTCTATTGCAGTTGGTTTGATAGAGATATCTCATTCCGTCCCGCATATATGGCCAAAATGGTAAATTGGATTGTTCAGTGCTTGAAGATGCTCATTCTGTGGGGGCATCAACGAGATGGAATATAACCTGAAAGTCTGTAACAAACTGAATTTGAATCCGGTCAAAACTGATGCGTATATCAACCGAGCAGGATAGACTATAGTGTCTTAGTGTAACCGCTTGAATTCTATTGCAGCATCATGCTAAAGAGGTAAGCAATGGCTCAAGCGTTGATCGTGCATGATTCACTGGTATCAGCGGAGGGAGACAAACATACACACACATGGATGCGTGCGCCTACTTGCAAGATAGACAACAAATATGTATGTCATGGTAATTGAGGCGTGTGTACCCAAGGCACGTCTCACAATCGTCCCCCAGCGTTTCAACGGGAGGTAGGGCAATCTGTGCTACATGATGGTCATCCAGACATCACTGGGAGGCTTGTCAGCGCAGATGAGGTCAACGTGACAGCTTGAAATGATGCTAAGCAACCTAAAGTGGTACTCAGACAACTTGAAATGATACTCAGATATCGTCAGATATCTTGAAATGATATTCGGACAACTAAGAATTGCAAAAGGTACAGAATGTTGATATCTAATCATCCTGAGGTTATTCCAATTTTCTTCCACTCCTCGGAAATCTCTATTGCTTGTCAAACTGGCAGATATCCAAGTGGTCTCTACGCTTTCGATGGTGGACAAAGATGGTAGGTAGTTCTTATTGGAAACAAGAAATTAAAAAAATAGACTTTTTAAGGTCACATTATACACCATATGTGGTGTCCGAATCTCGTTTGATCACAATGTACACACAACAAGATATCACACACGATGACACACGAGGAACACACGTACCTCAACGGCCACACTAATCCTCTAGCCTCACGCGTACGATCACAGCACAGATTGGACGCGGCGAGCACTAGTAGCCTTCTCCCAGCTACGTAAGCAAGAACACAGGTAGTGCACAGCGAACGTGTACTCGGCACACAGGAAGCAAGTCAATTTACAAGTTTTACTCTGATGCTTATATGTGACCCAAAATAGCATCGATTAAAGCAAGAAAAAGATTGTGCCAATCAAGTACACAGTTAGCAAAGTTCAATCGATCATAAGTCACGGATCAGACGGACGGAGTGAATGTCTCCGTATGACGCGATATGATTGATT